TGCCCGGCTGGTTGATGTCCTCGTAAGGACAAAAGCTGACATCACCGCCATCCAAGAAATGCGTTGGACGGGGCAAGGCAAACAATGTCTGGGGCCTTGCGACGTCTACTACAGCTGCCATGTAAAGGAGCGCAAATTCGGTGTTGGATTTGTGGTGGGAGAGAGACTCCGTCGCCGAGTACTGTCGTTCACCCCGGTGGACGAGCGTCTAGCCACAATCCGCATCAAAGCGAGATTCTTCAACATCTCGCTCATCTGCGCCCATGCCCCGACGGAAGAGAAGGATGAGGCATCCAAGGATCTCTTCTATGAGCGCTTGGAGCGCACGTACGAGCGCTGCCCCCGTCATGATATCAAAATCGTGCTTGGCGACTTCAATGCCAGGGTGGGCAAAGAAGGGATTTTTGGAACCACCGTCGGAAAATTCAGCCTCCACGACGAAACGTCCGACAACGGATTGAGGCTGATCGACTTCGCCGGGGCCCGAAACATGGTAGTATGCAGTACTAGGTTCAAGCATAAAAAGATCCATCAAGCTACCTGGCTGTCTCCGGATCGAAAAACGAGAAACCAAATCGATCATGTTGTGATAGACGGAAGGCACGCTTCCAGTGTTTTAGACGTACGCACACTCCGAGGCCTAAACATCGACTCGGACCACTATCTTGTTGCAGCCAAGATACGCACCCGCCTCTGTGCAGCAAAAAATGTGCGCCCAAATATGCAAGGAAAGCTTAACGTCGAAAAGCTGCAATCACAACAGACAGCCAGCGCTTTCGCTACTCGACTCTCACACCTGCTCTCAGAGAGCACTCTTCAACAAACCGACATATGCGAGCAGTGGAACCACATTTCCCGCTCATTAAGTACCGCCGCCGAAGAAGTAGTCGGATTTCAGCGAGCCCGAAAGAACAACTGGTACGATGAGGAGTGTCAGGAAGCTGCAGAGAAAAAAGATGCCGCCTACAGGGCCACGCTGCGATCGGGCGCAACGCGCGCTATGTGGGACCGCTATAGGGATCTGAAGAGGGAAGCGAGACGTATTTGCCGCAACAAGAAGAGAGAGGCAGAAATACGTGAGTGCGAAGAGCTTGAAATGCTGGCCGACAGGAGGAATGCCCGAAAATTTTACCAGAGAGTTAGGCGACTTACGGAAGGTTTAAAGACCGGGGCGCACTCCTGTAAGAACAATAATGGCGACCTAGTAACTGATGTCCAGAGCGTACTTAAATTATGGAGGGAACACTTTTCCGCCCTACTAAATGGTAGCAGCACGGAAAGTTGTGGAGAAGAAGAACCCGAGCCCGCAGTCGATGATGACGGAGTCGACGTTCCACCGCCTGACTATGACGAGGTACGTATAGCAATAACGCGGCTGAAAAACAACAAAGCCGCTGGAGCTGACAGCCTGCCAGCTGAGCTATTCAAGTACGGCGGCGAGGAGTTGATAAGGTGCATGCATCAACTCTTGTGCAGAATATGGTCAGATGAACGCATGCCCGACGACTGGAATTTAAGTGTGCTCTGCCCAATCCACAAGAAAGGTGACCCCGCCATTCGCGCCAACTACCGCGGGATCAGCCTTCTAAGCATAGGTTACAAGGTCTTATCGAGCGTATTGTGTGAAAGACTGAAGCCCACCGTCAATGAACTGATTGGGCCTTATCAGTGTGGCTTTAGACCTGGCAAATCCACCATAGACCAGGTATTCACAATACGCCAAATCTTGGAAAAGACCCGCGAGAAAAGGATCGACACTCACCACCTATTTGTCGACTTTAAAGCCGCTTTTGACAGCACTAAAAGGAGTTGCCTATACGCCGCTATGTCTGAATTTGGCATCCCCTCAAAACTCATACGGCTGTGTAAAATGACGTTGAGCAATACCACCAGCTCCGTCAGAATTGGAAAAGACCTCTCCGAGCCGTTCGCCACAAAACGGGGTTTCAGACAGGGCGACTCCCTTTCATGTGACTTCTTTAATCTGATGTTGGAGAAGATAATAAGAGCTGCAGAACTGAACCGCTCAGGAACAATTTACTACAAGAGCGTGCAATTGCTGGCTTATGCCGATGACATCGACATCATCGGTAACAAAAACCGCGAAGTCTGTTCTGCCTTTTCCAAGTTGGATAGGGAAGCAAAGCGCATGGGTCTGGTGGTAAACGAGGACAAGACGAAGTATCTCCTGTCATCAAACAAACAGTCAGCACATTCGCGCCTTGGCACCCACGTCACTGTTGACAGTTACAATTTCGAGAAAGTAGAGAATTTCGTTTACTTGGGAACCAGCATTAACACCGATAATAATGTCAGCATTGAAATCCAACGTAGAATCACTCTTGCCAACAAGTGCTACTTTGGACTGAGTAGGCAATTCAGGAGTAAAGTCCTCTCTCGACGTACGAAAACCACGCTCTATAAGTCACTCATCATGCCCGTGCTGGTATATGGCGCAGAAGCATGGACAATGACAACATCCGATGAGGCGGCTCTTGGGGTGTTTGAGAGAAAGATTTTGCGGAAGATTTACGGGCCTTTACGCGTTGGCGACGGCGAGTACCGCAGACGATGGAACGATGAGCTGTATGAGCTTTACAACGATATGGACATAGTGCAGCGAATTAAAATACAGCGGCTCCGCTGGCTTGGTCATGTCGTTCGAATGGACACCGACGCTCCAGCTCTGAAAGTATTCAACTCGGAACCCGCTGGTGGTAGCAGAGGAAGAGGGAAGCCCCCACTGCGATGGAAAGATCAGGTGGAGAAGGACTTGGCTTCACTTGGCGTCTCCAATTGGCGTCAGTTGGCAGAGGAGAGACGACTGGCGTGCTTTGCTGAACTCGGCCAAAAGCGCTTAGGCGGTTACAGCGCCAAAGAAGAAGAAGAAGAAGATGAAATTTTATATAGCCAGCCTTTTTAGCTTTTCGCGTTCACTCTTCCATGAAGGTTGGTCGGCTTCTTTTTTAAGACGTCTTCCACTAGGCACCGAAACTACCACGTTTTCTTGCAGTTTTCTAAGTTCATCAGAAGATGGAGACTTTTGAACTTGTATAAATACGTACAATAAATATTATAGCGACTTTTGCTAGAGTAGCTAACATTTGATGCTATTTTTTTCAGAATAAATAAGGATTTTGCTCTGTATTGTTAGTGGACATGAAACTACTTTAAATACGTGTACGTCAACCACCAAAAACTAAAAATCTAAAAAAATTTACATAGCCCACTTTGCAAGTGGACTACTCATATGCGATAAACAAATCGATTCCCCAGAACTACTTTCGCTTATGCCTTTTTATGCGCCGGAGGCTTCTAAGAGAAAAATACATTTTTTACGTACCAACGCGAAAAACGAAATTTGCTAACAATGAGCCCATGCCCATTCACAGATCCATTTGTCTATGTAACTCTATTTGTAATTATGTCGACATTTACTCATGTAGAGAGCGTTTTAAAATTAATAGCAATGATTATTTTTTTTCAATTCAATTCAATTCAATTCAATCTTTATTTAGTCTATGACTTATAAAAAATCGTACGGACTAGATTACAAAAAATACCTTAGATTTATATAATAACATACAACAACAGCAGAAACATGTTACATAGTACGCTTACTCATATAGGAGCAAATTTAATCAAAATTACTAATTAAATATAACCCTATTAAGTAAAAAGTTGTACATACTTAGTGTATAAGTTTAGGAGTAAATAGATTCAACTATAGATTTGAATAAGGACCTAGAAGTCGAGAACTCAATATTCAACCTTCCTGAGATGCAGTTGAATTCCGAATGAGCTCTAAAAACCGGAACCATATACAAATAATTCACTTTGACTGGTTGCAAGTAAAATGGCAATTAAAATCGCAATACTCTGTGGGGAACGTTAAAGCTTATCAGTTCAAGCAAGTTAGGGCAGTCTATATATCCATTAATTAAGTCATAGACAAACATAAGCGACTGGACAATTCTCCTCCCTTCCAGAGATTTCAAATTAATTAGTTTGCACCTAGCACCATATGAAGGAAGAGGTTCCGAGAAATTAAGCGGCTGAAGAGCAAAGCGAATAAATTTTCGTTGAACACGTTCAATTCCGCAAGCGTGAGAACTGTAAATTGGGTTCCAAATTACTGAAGCATACTCTAATTTCGAACGAACAAGAGCATAAAAAAGAGATTTTCTGGTATACGGATCTTTAAAATCTTTCCCATATCTACGTAAAAACGCTAAATTGCTAAACGCCTTTGGAAGTAAATAGGCACACATGGTTCACAAAAGAAAAAGCCGAGTCAAAAGCAACACCCAAATCCACGAAATCATTAACTTTGGTAAGCTGGTGATTTAAGATGAAAAAATTTGAAGGAATCGTATTATGAGTTTTTGAAAACGTCAGATAATTTACACATACNGTTCACATGGTTCACAAAAGAAAAAGCCGAGTCAAAAGCAACACCCAAATCCACGAAATCATTAACTTTGGTAAGCTGGTGATTTAAGATGAAAAAATTTGAAGGAATCGTATTATGAGTTTTTGAAAACGTCAGATAATTTACACATACTTTCAAATAATTTACACATATGTTGTTGTTATCCTGTATGTATAAATATTATGACTATTTTTGTATAACGTGTTATTTTTTTCCTGCTTATCTGTGAGGACAGTGTCCGGTAGATAAAAAAGAAAAAGTTCTGCCCTTTTACCTGACAACACAAAAAGGAGAATTCTGAGTAGTAATGGTTATAATCCTTAAGCGCGGCCAAAAGCCGCCTACCAAAACGAATGTTTGCAACATAGCATACATCAAATTAAAGGTATTTTATGCACTTACGGCTAATGTCAAAATCGATAAACCTTTTTCCTAAATGTGATTCTAACGGGCTACTCTCCTGCGCGCGTGATCTTGTCTTTTTGGTTCATGCAACGGGTGGGCTTTAGTAGTCAGCCGCACCTTGTGTTTTAAGAAAACCAGGTGGAATTAACAATTNAATACTTACGCCAAGCAAGGCGTTGGCGTTTTAATAAAGAGTAACATCCCTCATACGCAAATATTTAACTCATCCTCCATCCAAAACATTTGCATCGAAATCCAACTTAATATCAAATTCACCGTCATATCCATTTACATACCGCCCGACCAAACCTTCAACCCACACGACATTGATAACCTCTTCCAAAACACAAGCAACCCTATCATTCTAGCTGGAGATATTAACAGTTGGAACACCCTATGGGGCTCCCGGTCTAACAACGCCAGAGGACTTATCTTCGAATCTGCAATATCGCGACACAACCTGTGTATACTCAACGACCGGCAACCAACTCACTTCTCCACACATGGATCGCTGACCCACGTCGATATTGCATGCTGCTCTCCCGCACTCCTTCCAATAACTTCGTGTTATACGTTGGATGATCTCTACCACAGTGACCATTTTCCAAATAAAACTACCTTAACCCTTTGCAATCATCATTGCAGGAGGCCGTTTGTCGCCAAATTTAAATTACACGATGCAAACTGGAATGAGTTCTCAAAGACGACCGACCAAGAGCTTGATAAAAGAAGACTCACCAATCAGACAAACAGAGACGCTGCGGTACTCACCAAGTCTATTCGTGTTGCAGCTAATAAACATATTCCACAAACCCACCCCGGTCAAAAAAGATCCGTTTATTGGTGGAGTTCCGAGCTCTCCACACTTCGATTGGAAAAGGTATCAAACTGGAAAGCATACAAACGATCCCCCACAAACGATAGTCTAATTCGATATAAAATACCCAACGCTAGATTTCGGAAAGCAGCGAAATCCGCTAAAGCCCAATGTTTCCAACAATTTTCCAGCACAATTAACAGGGACACGCCCATTGCAAAAGTTTGGAGCCAATTGAAAACTATCTACAACAGAAATACGGATAACTCAATACTATCAATCAAATCCAACAATCAAACCCTACTCGAACCATCGAATATTGCAAATCAATTCGCCTCAGACTGGGCACAGTTCTCCTCAGACGATAATTTCTCCCCCGCTTTTAGAGCAGCGAAGTACCGAACAAGTGTTCCTTTAACTCACAACCCATCCAACATGCAAGCGAGAATGTTAGAGTCAGCTATTACCACATCCGAATTCAAACAAGCAATTAATGGTGCGGGTATAATGGAGGCGCTTCAAATAGCCCAAAAAAAGAATAAGACGGCTGTAATCTTCAGCGACAGTCTCTCGGTCTTAGAAGCCATAAAAAATATCTCCAATAGTAACTGGGACACAATAAACGCGATCCCTGATATTTTACACCAGTCCCAACACACAAAACTCTTCTGGATACCAGGACACGTAGGTATAACTGGTAATGAGGAAGCAGATAATGCAGCGAAGTCTGCGTGCAAGGCTCCAACCATCATTAGCCCCATTATAGAGAAAACTGATCTAGCGCGTGTCTGTCTTCAACAGCACCGAAAACAACAACAAGCCAAAAGAGCACTCAATCAACATCACCATTACTCAACTATTAACACAAACAATGCACCTGCTATTTACCCCACTACCATAGAAAAAGAAAAAATCTTTGTATTTTCCCGCCTTCGCCTTGGGCATACAAACGCAACTCATTCGCACCTACTAAGTACCCAACACAGCGGAAACTGTCTACATTGCAACGCACACCTAACAGTCAACCACCTTCTCCTCGAATGCCCGGAGCACCGCAGGTCTAGAAATTCCATCCTTAACAACCACAACCCAATCGATCTACTCAAAACTCCTTCAATCCAGAACATCAACGTTATATACAATTACATCAGAGCCATCGATGCCAAGATATAATCCACATGATGCTATTTTTTTCAGAATAAATAAGGATTTTGCTCTGTATTGTTAGTGGACATGAAACTACTTTAAATACGTGTACGTCAACCACCAAAAACTAAAAATCTAAAAAAATTTACATAGCCCACTTTGCAAGTGGACTACTCATATGCGATAAACAAATCGATTCCCCAGAACTACTTTCGCTTATGCCTTTTTATGCGCCGGAGGCTTCTAAGAGAAAAATACATTTTTTACGTACCAACGCGAAAAACGAAATTTGCTAACAATGAGCCCATGCCCATTCACAGATCCATTTGTCTATGTAACTCTATTTGTAATTATGTCGACATTTACTCATGTAGAGAGCGTTTTAAAATTAATAGCAATGATTATTTTTTTTCAATTCAATTCAATTCAATTCAATCTTTATTTAGTCTATGACTTATAAAAAATCGTACGGACTAGATTACAAAAAATACCTTAGATTTATATAATAACATACAACAACAGCAGAAACATGTTACATAGTACGCTTACTCATATAGGAGCAAATTTAATCAAAATTACTAATTAAATATAACCCTATTAAGTAAAAAGTTGTACATACTTAGTGTATAAGTTTAGGAGTAAATAGATTCAACTATAGATTTGAATAAGGACCTAGAAGTCGAGAACTCAATATTCAACCTTCCTGAGATGCAGTTGAATTCCGAATGAGCTCTAAAAACCGGAACCATATACAAATAATTCACTTTGACTGGTTGCAAGTAAAATGGCAATTAAAATCGCAATACTCTGTGGGGAACGTTAAAGCTTATCAGTTCAAGCAAGTTAGGGCAGTCTATATATCCATTAATTAAGTCATAGACAAACATAAGCGACTGGACAATTCTCCTCCCTTCCAGAGATTTCAAATTAATTAGTTTGCACCTAGCACCATATGAAGGAAGAGGTTCCGAGAAATTAAGCGGCTGAAGAGCAAAGCGAATAAATTTTCGTTGAACACGTTCAATTCCGCAAGCGTGAGAACTGTAAATTGGGTTCCAAATTACTGAAGCATACTCTAATTTCGAACGAACAAGAGCATAAAAAAGAGATTTTCTGGTATACGGATCTTTAAAATCTTTCCCATATCTACGTAAAAACGCTAAATTGCTAAACGCCTTTGGAAGTAAATAGGTTCACATGGTTCACAAAAGAAAAAGCCGAGTCAAAAGCACACCCAAATTCACGAAATCATTAACTTTGGTAAGCTGGTGATTTAAGATGAAAAAATTTGAAGGAATCGTATTATGAGTTTTTGAAAACGTCAGATAATTTACACATACTTTCAAATAATTTACACATATGTTGTTGTTATCCTGTATGTATAAATATTATGACTATTTTTTATAACGTGTTATTTTTTTCCTGCTTATCTGTGAGGACAGTGTCCGGTAGATAAAAAAGAAAAAGTTCTGCCCTTTTACCTGACAACACAAAAAGGAGAATTCTGAGTAGTAATGGTTATAATCCTTAAGCGCGGCCAAAAGCCGCCTACCAAAACGAATGTTTGCAACATAGCATACATCAAATTAAAGGTATTTTATGCACTTACGGCTAATGTCAAAATCGATAAACCTTTTTCCTAAATGTGATTCTAACGGGCTACTCTCCTGCGCGCGTGATCTTGTCTTTTTGGTTCATGCAACGGGTGGGCTTTAGTAGTCAGCCGCACCTTGTGTTTTAAGAAAACCAGGTGGAATTAACAATTGAAACTTAGTCAGGATGTTAAGGGAGGTATCCTCTAAAACATGTATAACTAAAAAATATAAACAATATAATTGTATATATATATATACAGTCATCGACTATCTCTCGCCGTGTATGGACGTGTGTCTAAATTGTGTGCTAGTTACTGTGCTAAAGAAGTCATTCTATTCTACTTTACTCTTTGATTTCATTTTTCGTACCATCGTTCGATTATTTCAACCAATCACAAGCGACGTAGTATAAACAACAAAATGCCGCCGGGCCCTCCGGATAGAGGCGCGAACAGATTTTCGATTTTAAGTGATCACGTGGATTCCCTAGAATGTGTCACTTCCTTTCCCAACCTGAATCAAAAACAAGCTCCTCTGAACCATCCCAAATACCTCACTATTTCCTCTTCAGACAATAGCCTCGCAAAACTGAGCCCATTCGTAATAAAAAAATGCATTGACGCCATATCAACCCAAGTCGACAGTATCAAGCAACTAAGGGACGGATCTCTCCTCATCCTAGCTCGGAATGGAAAAGTTGCTGAAAAATTCTTAAAAACTTATTCGCTGGCTAATCTCTGTCAGGTTTCTGCTAAACTGCACGACAATCTCAATACCGTAAAGGGCACGGTGTATGCACCCTGCCTTATTAACGTAAAGGAGGAAGAGATTTTAGAAGAACTCAAAAGCCAAGGAGTAACAAATATCTACAAGCTCACTAACATGCAGGACGGTAAAGCAACACCCACAGGAAAAATGGTACTCTCCTTCGACCTCTATCATCTTCCCAAAACCCTCGATGTGGCATGGTACAAAGTTAAGGTCAAACCTTATTTTCCAAACCCTATGCGCTGTCGCAACTGTCAGCGGCTCGGGCATACAAAAAACCGCTGTTCAAACGCTGCAACCTGCGAAGGGTGCAATTTACCCCCACATAAACCAACAACATGTACTCGGGACCAGTGCGCCAACTGTGGCGACACACATCCCTCATCCGACAAAAACTGCCCTAGATTCAAGCAAATGAAAGACGTTCTGCAAATCAAAACCATACACAAGTGTTCAACTTGGTGAAGCATTTAAAAAATATAACCTAAACAATCTACCCACAGACACATCCAAACGCACATACGCCAACTCAGTAAAAGAATCAGAAACAACATCCAATAACAGCATCGCTCGCAAAAATGATCTAAAAACAACAAATTGCAAATGAACAACCCCAACCAGTGATTATCTGAAACGTCCAGCATCATCTCCAAAAACCAACCAAGAAAAAATCGCAAAAACCACTGCCAGCAGCTGCAAACATCAACACACCATTAACTCAGAATCCAACTCCAACTACAAAGGTATACACACAGAAAATGCAAATCCAACAAATCCCAGCTTATCACCTTTATCCAATATTACTCAACAACTCATTTCAAATTATCATTATTTCATCCCGGCAACTGAAACCAGCTCTATGCAAATCGATACAGCTACTAGCTTATCTTCGTAAACACCAAGTTACGAATAAATAAGCTTAATTAATACAGATGCTCGATAAGTTCAATATTTTGCAATGGAACATGAATGGTTTCGTTAACAACAGTATTGACCTTGAACTTCTCAGAAACGAACACCAACCACAGCTTATATCGATTCAAGAAACCCACTGTCCAACAGCTTTACCCCTATACCTCCCAAAAACTACACAGCCTACTTCACCAACCACATCACAAATACTTACGCCAAGCAAGGCGTTGGCGTTTTAATAAAGAGTAACATCCCTCATACGCAAATATTTAACTCATCCTACATCCAAAACATTTGCATCGAAATCCAACTTAATATTAAATTCACCGTCATATCTATTTACATACCGCCCGACCAAACCTTCAACCCACACGACATTGATAACCTTTTCCAAAACACAAGCAACCCTATCATTCTAGCTGGAGATATTAACAGTTGGAACACCCTATGGGGCTCCCGGTCTAACAACGCCAGAGGACTTATCTTCGAATCTGCAATATCGTGACACAACCTGTGTATACTCAACGACCGGCAACCAACTCACTTCTCCACACATGGATCGCTGACCCACGTCGATATTGCATGCTGCTCTCCCGCACTCCTTCCAATAACTTCGTGTTATACGTTGGATGATCTCTACCACAGTGACCATTTTCCAAATAAAACTACCTTAACCCTTTGCAATCATCATTGCAGGAGGCCGTTTGTCGCCAAATTTAAATTACACGATGCAAACTGGAATGAGTTCTCAAAGACGACCGACCAAGAGCTTGATAAAAGAAGACTCACCAATCAGACAAACAGAGACGCTGCGGTACTCACCAAGTCTATTCGTGGTGCAGCTAATAAACATATTCCACAAACCCACCCCGGTCAAAAAAGATCCGTTTATTGGTGGAGTTCCGAGCTCTCCACACTTCGATTGGAAAAGGTATCAAACTGGAAAGCATACAAACGATCCCCCACAAACGATAGTCTAATTCGATATAAAATACCCAACGCTAGATTTCGGAAAGCAGCGAAATCCGCTAAAGCCCAATGTTTCCAACAATTTTCCAGCACAATTAACAGGGACACGCCCATTGCAAAAGTTTGGAGCCAATTGAAAACTATCTACAACAGAAATACGGATAACTCAATACTATCAATCAAATCCAACAATCAAACCCTACTCGATCCATCGAATATTGCAAATCAATTCGCCTCAGACTGGGCACAGTTCTCCTCAGACGATAATTTCTCCCCCGCTTTTAGAGCAGCGAAGTACCGAACAAGTGTTCCTTTAACTCACAACCCATCCAACATGCAAGCGAGAATGTTAGAGTCAGCTATTACCACATCCGAATTCAAACAAGCAATTAATGGTGCGGGTATAATGGAGGCGCTT